CTCTGGTGAATCCTCTCACTGCCCCTGCACCTCTGGCCTGTACCCCAGCTCTGTATGCATAAATAAATCTTTAAAAAAAAAAAAAGCAGATTAAGGATGCTGAATTCAGAAAGTATCCACTAGCACTTAAAATAATGAAGAGCTTATTTATTTTTAAGATATTTTATGTGTTTATTTTTAAACAGAAGAACTGGAGTATAGACCAGAGGTGGGGAGGTGACAGGATTTACCAGAGACAGAGTGGGAAGCAGAACAGGCTGACCTACTGAAAAGGGGAGTCGTGGGTAAAATAGAAGTCTGCTGCACCATGTGGGTCAGCTCCCTGGCCTGGGCTCAAACTCAGGTCTTGCAGTAGGAGCGCTGACACTTAACCTTTAGGCCACCTGGGAGGCTTAATTTCTTGCTTGGAAATTCTGAAAGCTTAGTAATTTTGGTCTATAAATATGCTGAAGGAAAATAAATTGGTTTAACTAATAACATGATACAAAAAATGAAGTGACATATTCTTCTACTTCTGAATTCACAGCTATTCGCAAACAAGATGAACATGAAAACTGAAAACAAGCTGAACATGAAATTAAGTTCTAAGAATCTTTTCCGGTGGAAAAGATCATATCACGGCTTAGGTTTTAAGAGATTAAAACTCAAGAAAATAGGCTGAGGCTATTCTACAAAAATATTTTATAAAGGGACAAAATTTTTATTTGGATTGTTAATGTAAGAAAATGCCAGGAAATTCTTGTGTCATGTGCCTCTTAATCAGGCAGTTATGACGGATATGTCATGATGATTCATACGTGAGGCCATGTGTTTATGTTCTCAGTTACAGCAAAACGGTGATATTGGGAGACTGAAGTTTATTAAATATTAGCTTAGCAACCAACTATTACACTTTACCTCAATGACAGATTTAAGCTACAAAAATACTCAATGACCACACTCATATACAATCAAACATAGGCCTAAACAAGAGAGAATGAAGGTAATTTGGTTTGCTAGTAGCTTCTGGAAGGAAACAGATCCTTGAAACTTTCCTATTCTCATACAAACTCAGGGGAAAACTTTTGAACTGGGGAAGGATCTTCTACATAGTCATCCTCCATCTGACCTCTAGCTCTCCTTGACTTTTTTTTTTTTGCAAGATCACAAAGAGCTAATATTTTGTTACTGGCTGCTTCTGAGAACCAAAGATTGCCCTAAATTTATCTTCCATTCTTTAGTTGTCTTGAAAGTGTCTCAAGTATCAGACAGGCCATCTAGATGAAATCACTACATTCCCTGGGGAATGTTCCTCTTAAGAGTTTACAGAGGTACTTGATACTGCTTTTCTAATATTTAGATTATAGTGCTTGAGGCTGAGATATGGGGCCATACCTGTCCTTCCTTGTCCTCCTCTGAAATGTCTTACTGATTTCAAGGAGGACCAGGCTACAGAGCTGACATGGAAAACAGAGGTTTTTGTGTGCTTTGCTCACTGATGTACCCCAACGACAGACAGACAATAGGTACTGGGTAAATATGTGTTAGGTAAGTAAGATTAGGTGACTATTCTTCATAGATGACGGATGATGTATTTTACTGCAAATTATGTTGGCTTGTTCAAGCTAATCCCATCTATACTTACAAAAAAGAAATTCTATGCCCAAGGGAAGTTACTTTATGAATCTATTAATTTCTCACCCTGTGAGCTAAAACTTGGAGGTGAGGTGGCCCTGGCTGCATATTTCTGCAGTCTGGCAGTCTCCTGCCCTGCTGATCTGATCTCATCCTGAAACTCCCAAGCTCGAAATACCTCGCAGTTATTCAAAACTATGGAGAACAGTAAGAACTAGACAGAACCGGTTAATTAAAGTTTCTGAGACTTGTCTTTTATATTTCCTGATTTCTGAACCTCCAACCGTGGAAAAGTACAGATGGTTTGAGGAAGATGTCATGAACTGACACCAATTCTGTGATGTTTTGAGTTCAACCCTACTTCTATCAGCGGTCTCCCATGTTAGTGTCAGGGGAAAGCCAAGACATTCTAGTAATAGACAGCAGTCTCTTTAAAGAATGGGAAACTGAAGGTACAGACTTGCGGTAACTCATTTCTTAAAACACTTATCAAAGCTTCCTTCCCCGTAGAACATTCAGGCATCACAATTTTATTTATTTAATGATTTACTTTTATTTATTTATGATATAAGAACTGGGATGCCCAGAATCCTTGCCTGGACTCACATTACCTGAGCTTCCTTCTAAGGGGTTAGTTAGCCTTATCTCTTTTTTTAAGGACATCATTCTTCTATGGTTCCTGTGATTTTGTAGCGCTTTTTTTTTTTTTTTTAAAGACATTTATGCATTCATGCAAGAGCTGGAGTATAAGAGCAAGAGCAGGGCAAGAAGATTCATCAGAGACAAAGTAGGTAACAGGTGAGTCTGGAGAAATCTGCTGCACTGTGTTGGTTAGCTCCCTGGCTGGAGATGGAACTCATGCCACAGTGGCTGGCAATAGCTGGACAGCACTGAGACTTAACCCCTGTGCTACCAGGGAGGCCCCGACATCACAATTTCAAGAAACCTACCTCCAAAAAGAGGTGGACTCAGAATTACTGATTTGAGTCATTAGGTTTTATTCTTGAAGGTGTAGTTTTGTGAGCTCACTATTGATGAATTTAAAACATGAAAGTAGAAAATTTTGGGCCTCCCTGGTGGTACAGGGGTTAAGACAGAGTGCTATCAAGCCATCCCAAGCCACTGCAACATTGAGTTTGAAGATCCTCAGCCTGGGACCTACATAGCACAGCACCTTTCCTATCATGTGCCACTGCTCCCCTCAGCAGTGTATTTCAGTACATCTGCCTGTTCTCCTCTCCACTCTGTCTCTGGTGAATCCTCTCACCCCCCTGAAACTCTGGCCTGTAACTGAGTTCTGTAGGCATAAACAAATAAATTTTCAAAAAATACATATATGCTTTTAAAAAAAGGAACCACAAACATTAAAGCCGCAGGAAAGCACAAGAGTGATGTCCTTACAAAGAGATAAGGCATTAGCCTCCTTCCCTGAGGAGAAAGCTCAGGTGGTGTGAGCCGTGCAAGGACTCCGGTCCTGGACAGTCTTATACCGGCCCTCCAGTAATTGCTTTCTTTACTAAATATATAAGCAGGTCATCTAAGAGTTTGCTTTCTGGTTCCCAGAATGTAATATTATAAGGGATATAAGTGTTTCTCTGGCCCTTCTATCACTTTCCTGGACCCTGATAAACTCAGAGCCTTGGCTAGGCTTTTCCTTATATATCATTTAAATATCTAGATTCTCCACAGTCACACAGCAGTCACTACAAACATACTTATTCTCATGTACTATATTTCTTGCTATATACACTATTTACTATTTTTTAAAGATTTATTTATTTATTTATTTATACATGTAAGAGCTGAGATGTAGGCCATAAAAACAGGGTGGTGGGGAAGTAGGATTCACGAGAGCCAGAGAGGGGGACAGAACAGGCAAGATGGGAGAGGTTTTCTGCATCATGTGGGTCAGCTCCCTGCCTGGGAGCTGAGCTCATGCTGCAGGGAGCTTAGACCTGTGTGCCGCCAGGGAGGCCTTGTATACACTATTTTAGAGTAACCATTTGAAAAGTTGAGCTAAAACGTTGAACATGACTAGATAAACTTGCTGTGCAGCATGCTTAATTACAGCAATGACATTCTGATCTTCCCAATGCTCATTATACTTATATAAATACACTTTATAGGAAGGTGAAGGATCTACTTACTGTGCTTCTTCAGAAGACTCCTGTTTTATTTTTAATGTTCTCTTTGTGACAGGTATTTCATCTGAAAAGCAAAGTTTTGGAAACAAGTTATATTTTCCTAAGTAGTGTCATAAGTGTCATACATTTATGTGATAAGTAGCTACGTTTACTATGTGTTCTATACTTTCCAATGTGAGACCTTAGTTCTAGTGTCAAACACTGTCCAACGCCAGATTTATAAATATAACTCTTATATAATGAGATGCATACATTTATATGCAAGATCAGAAACCAGCTCTACAAGTATAAAATTCTTCAAGGTCACCAGTGGATTTCTAACCAGGAGCTTAAAGCTTAATTTCACTGCAAACATGATTTTTAAAGGAACAAGATTGAAAATAATTCTACCCTATTTGGATTTCTGTGTAGGCTTTATAAAGCAATTATTTTTCCCAATATCAGGATCAATATGCTCTGCACATTATTTTTTCCCCGAAGTTGTGAGCAATTTAACTCTTTATGGAAAAAGCAGAGTTATAGATACCAAGGTAACTTAGACCTTTTTACTGTTTTGAAATTATGAGGTTGAGAACTTAGCACTGACCATTTGTATTCTTTCAGTCTCTTTTACATTGTGTTAGTCTTACAGCTTTACAGCTGCTATCTTCAATATTTGAGGGACTTCCCACCCCAAAACAGCACTTATAAGAAATATACATTTAATCCTTTTTCATTTGAATTAGCATTTGCCCATCAATAGGAATTTTGCAAAAAAAACAATATCCATGGACCTCTGTCTTACGCCAAGGAAGCACACTTACTGTGCCAGTCTTACTGACACTTCCTTGGGGGTTGCCTGAATAGCTCTTTGGGGAGTAAAAACATTTCCTTATAAGTGAGCCCTCATGGCATACTAGTCATTAGAATACAATGGCTCAGCAGAAACTTTACTAGTACTTCCTGAGTATGATAATCAAAACTGGGTCATTTATTGCAAAAGATTTTTAAAAAGCACACAAAAACTACATATATACTCTTAATTAGGCCAATAAGTTTAGGTTGGATGGTCAGAAGTTTTATTTACCATTTTTAAAACTTAAAACTATATGAACCATTCCAGCTATTGTTGGGATAGACTCTCTTATGAAGTTTGAAGGAGTACGATCATTGAAAATTTCAAGTATCAGCTCTCTTAAAAAAAGAAAAAGGTTTTCTTTCATATTTTGTTGAGATTGATGTCTACAAGAGGACATTTTCCAAATTATGAACAGAAAAAGTATTTGGGATTAAAAAAGTTACTTCCATAGCATTTGGGATAAGAGTCAGTACATGCAGTCACTTGAGAATCAGGAGACACAAAATATTTAAAATTGCCTGGGGTGCTACAAGTTACTGTATTTCCTTGTGCAGTGCAGCGTTAGGAATGCTTCTGTCTTTAGGACAGGTTACCAGCTGGTACCCAAATTACCAAGTGACCCACACTAAGCACAAGCTGGTAGGTGACAGCTAAACCCAGAACACCCCACACTGCCCCAAATGTACTGAGTCTATGCTTTGTGCTGGCAACGGGAATGGCACCAAAAGGCCTTATAGATCCTAGTGCAACAGAAAGGTACACACAACACGCGTATTGACTTACCCAATTCCTGATCTGTTGGGTAGCCATGGAGATCCTGACTGTGGTTTCCCCAGTCCTCCTGTGAATACTCCTCCATAGTGCTGCCATCTGACTCCAGCTCCTGGTACAAGCCACTACTGTTAATAAGTACAGGCTGGCAGGGCTGAGCATCCCATCCTCCCTGACCAAACACCTGTTCCAACTGTTCAAATGTGTAACTGCTCTTTCTTTTCCCAACACCATGTTCTTTCACCCGACTGTAACACCTGCGAAGGGTCTAAGACACAAAGTCTTTTGTTATTCCTTTAAAGCTGTACTTCCTCTTCCAGGTACGGACCACAGATATTAATTACTATTAGACAGACACAGACAGACAAACACAGACACATTGTTAACAAGAATACTAGAGTTCAAATTCATTATTATATTAGAAAAAAAAATACTAATTTAACATTTACTTAAACATGTTACAATTCAAACAATTATTTTGCAATTAATTATCCATTAAACAACAAGAAACATTACAACATTATTGCATGTACCCCATACACATTTTTATACCCCCACCCCCATTTAAAATGAATAAGAAAAAAAAAAAAAAAGGAAAACAAGAATACCAGCCAGCCAATAGGATGCACACCTGCCACAGAAGAAAAAGAGCTGCTATATGTGCCCAGAATTTGGAAAAAGTGAGGGAAGGGAGTACAGAAAGAAGAATTTCCCAAAGCAAAGACTATAACCTTCCTTACTCGTGATTAAGAAGAAATACAGGGCAAAACCAATTGCCTAAATGAATTAGCTAGTAAAACGTATTACTTAGGGGAAGCTGCCAAAATTTTAGAAGTCAAATCAATGATGCTACAGATTCCCTGTCTCAAACATCAATTATCAAGAAACAACACACTATCTAGATCTAGAAACCAGCTAATGATATAGTTCGATTCCATCATCTCAAACTGCCAACTAAACAAAGCCCCCTTGGATGGGGGTGGGGGGAATGTTAAGTGGAAGGGTGTCATTTCACACTTTTTCTGCCTTGAAACACAAAGCATGTAAACATCAGACAAGTCCACAGATGACAATTTTATTACCCTGTACAACACTTAAATTTTTCCCTACTTTCCTAGTACACATTTCTGATTATTGGTCCAGTTTCTTATGTTTAGAAGTACATTTTATGCTATCTCACATTATATTTCAAAAGATTAAGCAAGGACTTAGTCCCAGCTTCCAAATTTAGTTTGGTCACATGCAGCCTCTATCCCATCTTTGCCTCCCTTTGTTCTTTGTAATCTCCTTTCTGTTTCACTGGACATCACTCTGAGATTCTTTTCCCTAGTGGCTCCCAAAGACTTCTTAACTCAATCGTACAAAACCAGTTCATCTCAGCCTTATTTTATACACATTATCCAAGTTATAAATTTGCCTTAGAGATATTACCTATTCTCTCCAAACTAAAACAAGTCTTAATAATCTTTACAACACCTCCATTAAAGTTCACTGTCTTTAAATCACAGATAACTACAAAATGACATTCTGACAAATAGTATGCAAACCTGTCCCTTGAGGCCAGAATCCAGATGGGCAAGAGGAATGACAAAAGCATGACTCACAGAATGAACTCCTCAGACCTAACAGAGTAGTGATTAGTCAGCCCACCCTAAACCCGGCCAGCCTATCCCTGCCTAAGCACCTGCCTCCTTCTCCCTTTCTTGGGATCTCTTTTCAGGTCTCAAATGATGCCTTAATGAACTGGGTTTCAGATAATACACTCTTTAAAAGTGCTCCTTCTTTCTTTTGTAAAGCATAGTCACAACCACCTAACACAAAACTTCCTAGAACAAATCAGGAAGGAACTTGGGAAATGCATCTTGGACAACCCTCCCTATAGAAAGAGACAGATGCCTGCAGCACATCTCATTTGACTTTCTACATATTCCTCTTTCCCAGTGCCCTCTGCCCTCCAAGCAGGGGTTGGAATTTGAATTGCAAACATCTCCTGCCAATTTATTTTTATCTCACAAAGTCAAGTTTCTGCCTCTAAGAACACCCCAACCATTCTTTTCAACTTCTCCAAGGACCATAAATGGAGAGTCCCAGCCATGTGCCCTTCACCCTTCCAAGGCCATAAATGGAGATGGAAACCAAGCCATTGCCCACTGCTTACTGGCTGCCTAGGGGAAAGCACTCAACATTCAACAGGGCCTGGGCGGATCTGTTCCCCTTCAGAGTGGCCCTGTGTCACCGAGGGTTACTGTGGAAGTCCAGGAATAAAATTAATGTTCCTTCGAAGAAAGGTCCACACTTCTGAGGATGTGAAACAGGCATAAGCAAAACCACGTATCTTTGACAAATATACATGGTGGGAAACTACAGAAGCCATCAACTTCCTTTGAAAGCATCAGAGAGAACTAAAATCAGTCGGCTTATATAATTGTAAATAAGGAACTTACTAGACAGCATTCTCTAGTGGTTTTATATTTCACCAAAGTAGGTTCATATATCTTTCTACCTCTTTTTATTGTGCTTTTGTAAATATAATACACTTTAATAGTGTAATCTGCTGATCTATAATATATTAAGGATCTGGAGGAAAAATAGTGACTTCTAGATTCATATGACTGGAATTTGATGTACTAAAATGTTAAAATTTTTCCTAACTAATTCTCAAGACAGAAATACAAACATAAACAGTAACTTCTGGATTCAATAAAGATTCAAGATTCAGGGAGAGTCATTTTAAATAAGACATATCAACTAGAACAAGAAAAAAAGGACTCAACTATCAGCTCAAATACTACTCTAAGAAACAGTGAAACTAGTTAAACTAGAGAAAAGTTTAGAAATGGAGAAAACAGAAAAAAGTACCTTGTAAGTCTTATCACTCAGAGTAAATCAGAAAAGTTTACACTTTCTACACACTAAATGTTTAATCAAGGCATATAATCAAGAGAATGTATGTCTATATCAACAGTATTAAATAAACTCTTTAAATTTATTCTAAATCTGAGAGATTAAGATAATGCTTCAGAAATCAGGAAAGATGAAGTCTCACTTCCTATTTCAGAAAGCTATACCAAAACCAACAAGAACTTCAGGTTAGCTTCCTTGGGGAACCATTTCCTAAACAACCAAAAACAATTTAACTCCCTTCTTCCTTCACTTATCTTAGAAATTCAAAGTAAGTTAAATTCTAGTTGATTTTTTGTTGTTGTTTAAATTAAGATCTTGGAATGGAGGAAGAACTTGCTTAAAATTATTAAAGACTTCTACTCACAACTAAGAACAATAATGTTTTTCTTACTGTTAGGAATGTCCATGGTAAATCAGTATTACAGCCTCCTCCCTGGGGGAAGAACTGAGAGACAATACTGTATCTTGAATCAAATTATGGAGACAGAGGTCAGAAGTCAAGAAATCTAGACAGAGGAACTAAAGTACAGACTAGGTTGCCTAATGGGAGGAGTTCATTAAGTATTTGATTGGGAAAAAATGCCAGGTGAATGTTTACAAAATCCACCATGCCAAGCGACTACAAAAGTAAAGAACCAAAGAAAAGACTCGAAAGATGCCCCATTACCAAAGCGAGAAGAAAAATAAGGTGGCTGACAACTGACAACTTACAGGACACAAGGCAAGCTTTGCCAAAGTTTAAGATTAGGGTGAAAAGGAATGAGAGAATAAAAAGATGGCATTCATTGTGGATGAATGTAAGAGGGAGGAGTCTACGGGGAAGGGGAGGCAAGGGTAAACAAAGGCAGGAGTTTAGATTGGCAGGATTGGGGTTTAACGGCAGCAATGCAGAGAAAGACCCAGGGTTACAGTACACGTAACATTAAATACAGTGCACAATGCAGCTATCTTGCCAAAGTAAGTAAATCCAGTATTGGGTTGTATAAGCAGAGGAATCACATGTAAGCTATGGAGGTGGCTCTTCCTCTCTATTCAGCACCGGTGAGGCCACAGCTGGAGCACAGCATTCAGTTCTGGGCATCGAACCAGCTACAAGAGAGGGAAATTGCAGAGTTCAGAAAAGGGCAAATAAAATAATGAAAGGTTTGGAAAATAAGATCTGTAAGTAGGGACAGTGGTTTCGTCAAAGCCCTTCCTGACATTTTACAAGCTACTTTTAGGTTGAAAGGTTTCTTTTGCTTTGGTGTCCTCAATCCCTCCTTTTACTGTCAGCAAGTAGGAAGAATTTGATTCTTCCCTGGCATGGCCAAGTAGGATACAGGGACATGCCAACAATACTGCCCTGGCTCAATCATATGTCACATTTGCCCCACATCATGCAGTCATAACATAATCCCATGACAAAAATCACTGTTGTCATTGTTCTAACAAAACTAACTATAAGCAGGATAGGGCCTACCACAAAGAGGAGCAGGAATGAAGCATAATGGCTGTATAAATGTGATGCTTAGAAATCTCTGGCATGATCAGTTGGAAATGTGAGATGTAAAATAAAGCCAAACTATAGGGAAGATAGCTTAGTTGTCATAGGAGGAACATGGTATGAGAAAAAACAAGGCAGGGAACAGATTTTCAAATGCAGTTGTCAAAGTGGTCATTCAAGAAAAGGCCACTAATGTGGTCTCTCTTTCCCCTGCCAACTAAAAGTGATACATTTTAGATTCTGTTATACAAATAGAGAATACACTTATTTGCAAACAGTCTTAAAAATCACATATTGAGAGTAATCTCCAGTCACTGTTTACAAAAATACTAACACAACAGTCAGTCTAAGGTAGGTGTATATAACAGATCTATTGTATTTCTTTAAAGTTACTGCTTTATTGTATCTGTTATAACTAGTTGCTCTTGGTTAACTGAGATAACAAGAGTTTATTACAGTATCTATCAAAAATTCAACTTTTCTTTAACTGGGTTTATTTCTTACTTTGAGCACAAAGAACAGGGAAAAACCCTGAAATAGCAGACATGACTAAATGGACACATTTCTGCACACCTAAGTTACTGTATATTTCTGGTAACAAAGGTGCGATGATTAGGAAATCACCCAGGGCAGAACCAGTCTGGAGATAGCAGAACTGTATCTATTTAATTAGGTTTTCTGTACATTAAAACCTGATTTGCTTATTACCTAAAAATCCCTTTAAACTAGCAAAAAACAAAAACCCCAACAAAACAAAACCAAAAATGTATCACTTGTTTCACATTCCCCCAGTTCTTAGTGCAAAAGAGGAAATTTTGGCAAGTGAAGATGGTTTTATTCTTAATTTTTCCTTTTTCTTATCAGAGCTAAAGTTATTAACT